AGTTTGCAAAGAACGAAAATGTGACGCTTGAAAATCATCTCCAGGTTGAATTAGACTAATAAAGAAATCTAACCTCCAAGGAGCAAACGCAGAAACTCTATCATATGGGTATCCACACCCAGTTGCTTGAGCATTCAACTCAAAGCCAAACAAACAGGAGAAGACAAGTCAACACAAAACAGGATGCCTTCTAAGTTAGAAAACCTAAACCAATCAATCAGACACATTGCATATTTTCTCTTCCTCAACATTGACATTTGGTCTCAAATTGGTATTGCTCATCTATACCTATAGTTAAAGCCACATTAAGTCGTTTCTCGATCTTCCCAAAAACAAATTGTGAAACAACTTTGTGCTGTCTTTGGAATTCTCGAATTGAAAATTAAACCATCATGATATGATTACAACATATTACTTCCATTCACTATTGAACAAGTTAGTTCGATTCACATTCTTCCAAAACCAAGCATTATAGACCTTCCGTTGCTAGTAGTAATTTTCAAGTTGGACAATGAAGCCACCATCACAAGTCAAGAACTTATTGCGGCAGAGCAACGTAAAAGAATAAGGGAGAAGACATACTGAGTAATGAGAAGAACATCAATAGTGGAAGGATCAATTTCATCAAAGTAGGGCAATGCGGCCATCCCTGAATAAGCCGGATGAATCCCACAATCAAACTGCCAAAAACAGCAAAATTTGAGAAAATTTATTCCAAAAAAATTTAAAAAAAAATAATTCAAAACCCAGGTGCAAAAAATTGACAATTGAAAGGAAAATAGGTTGAGGACATTTCGCATGAATTGAGCATCATACCAAGACTGTTTTTCCTTTGTAAGACATGTAAACGCAGGACCGACCCACTTCATTTCCAGCACCTAAAGGCGTGATTATCAGCTGATCCCCGTCTCTATTATTTGCTGTTGTAGCCTCACGTTTCTTTAACGAAGTCAGTGATTGCCCAGTCGAAGCCATTGTGTTTTGAGCTCCAAAAAGTTGTTGGAAAAGTTCAAATCAGAGCTGAGACTTCCTTAAAATCAGCAAAACTTTACCAAAGTTCATCACAACCAAACCCCACCCCACATATTCAATAGCAATGTAACTGCAGACTGGAGAGAGAGAGAGAGATAGGGATCTCTAAAACCCTAACTTTTTAGAAGTTGCCCGCCTTAGCTGCAGTTCATACTTCATAGCAGGCTCGGGAGCATTTTTTTCCCTCTTTGGACCGGCCCGGTTTTGGTCTTGTTTTACTTTCCTTATTCCCCACAATTTTCTCAAACTTGTTTGGCACTTGAGTCTTTTGCCAAGTTTGGCTGCAATAAATTTTTTAAAAATTTTAACTACTAGTAACTTTAAAAAAAATTTTAAAATTTTTCAACTATACATTTTAAAATATTCAAAAATTTATACACTTTAAAAATTTTTTTAAAAACTTTTACAGTAAGTTATAGTAAAGTTTTAAACAAACAACCAAAAAACTCACTTACTAAACAGGGTCATAATACTTTTTGGTTGTTTTACTACATTTTTTAATATCACCTAGCACTCTTAAGGTTTTAAAAATATCACTTACCTCCCTTACTTTTGTTATTTGCGTAACAAAATTTTTAAAAACTCTAAATTACCCTTCTACTTGCTAAATAAAAATGCTCCTAGATTACTTTATTTATTTCAAGAAAACCATCATTTAAAAAATAATTTCTAGTAGTACTACCACGTCATAACGCTATAATCCATAAAAATATATATTTAAAAAATAAAAAAGATATTTACAAAGAAATATAGTTGACTAATTTAACTCTATAGGCTCAAAATCAATTTCTTATGAATTTTATCTCTTTTTTTTCAATTTCTTCTCAACTCATGCTCAAACCTTTAAATTGCACTGATCATTATAAAAAATAACTCAAAATAAGCAAATAAATCATACTCCACTCTATTACAATTATAAAAAGTAAAAGATAATAAAATTCAATTTATTATAATTTACAAATAAAAAATTGCATAGTCATCAAAAAAATTAGTAAGAGAGAATATTGGAGAAAAGGAAAAGAGAAGAAAGTGACTTTTGTTTCCTTTGTTTTTAAATTTTTGAGTTTCACTTATTTGATATGTGAATTATGTTTCAAGTAACGGTTAATATAGTATTTTTGTAATTACTAAAGGAGGTAAGTGATATTTTCTAAATTTTAGGGGTGGCAGGTAATATTAGGAGAAATCTCAAGGGAGGTATCTGATATTATCCCTTTTTTATCTGCACAACAGCGCGGGTGGAAACGAGTAAATAGTGGGAAAAAAGTGACAAAAATCGATACACGACCACAGTGGGAGTCGAACCCACGACCTTCTGATCCGAAGTCAGACGCGCTAATCCACTGCGCTATGCGGTCAGGATGCTGTTTCTCTGCGTTCTCTTTATCTAACTATCGACTTCCACTGCACCCATATCTACTACTCCCACCCCACGTAATACGTTAAGAGAAACCCAAAGAAGGTTTTAGATTCGTAGCATTAGATTGTATTCTTGCTCCAAATACACTTATCTAGGAGAAAATAGACTTGCAGTTTATAATGTATGGTTTCGGATCCTGAATTTTGTCAAAAACATTTTAATGGTTAATCTTTCCGATTGGAAGAATATACAATGCATTAGTGATGCCATCATAAACCATGTAATAACTTACAATCAGCAAGACAATTAATTTTTCCTCTTAATTAGCGAGTCCAAGAACCAAAATGTAGTAATGTCTCCGGTCATTTAATGGAAGAAAGCAATTTACATATTATCCCCAGAATGTAGTTCTGATGCATGGACCTTTCACAACAGTTTGCAAAATTTCTAGAGTCATGAATCATAAAATTTTTTAGAATATAAGGACTAAAGTACAAACTTATTTTCTATAATTTCAAAATTATTATACAACAAATTATATGTCTCTTATTTACATTTTCAAGTATAATATAATCTAGCATTCAATAATTTAAATACATAGAATATTACAATTTACGATAAAATAGAAATGAATAGTAAAAGTGTTAATAAGTTGTGACAAAAATAAGTTTCAATCAATTAGTAGTATTAAAAAAGTATAAAGTAAACAATTTTTTTAGCTAATCTATTTAAATGTAATTTATTATCTAAAATTCACAATACAAGCAATATAAAATATTATTCTATTTATGATGTGTTTCCAAGGAACTTAAGAAGTGAGTGTGTGTTTGTGTGTGTGAAAATACATTCATGTATGTGAAAATGTGTTTATATGTGTGAAAAAAATCTTTTTTGTGTGTTAAAATGTATGTGAAAAAGTTTATGTATTAAAGTGTATTAATTAATTTGTTGGGTCATGGATTTGAGATAACCCAATATGACCCAACCTAAAATCAACCCAATCTAAAGTTGGACGAATTAGGTATAATCCATTTAAATGAAAACCCAATGTTAACCCGCCCAATTATTAGGTATAGTAATAAGGGTGATGAGACATGTTCGTTAATCTGACTCTTTTAACTTTGTCCATCCTTTGCTTCTCTTCTCGAGTTTACACTTGAAAGACCAAGATTCATCTTGAACTCATGTTATGACACTTTTCTTATACCATCTTTTAAACCATGTAATAAGGGAGATGGAATCTGTTTGTAGACGAAGTCCTGCAAACAAATATTATTTATGAAACCTTCCTCATTGCCCTTTAATTCTGCTAGAGAAGATCGATTTCATTCTCCCTCGTATCTAATACCATACACCTGCGAGGCTGAGACTAATGCACAGGCACAAAAGTGTTGGAAGGATAAAGCATTCAGATTCATTTGAATCCGTTGATTCTAACACGTAATAACTACCGGCCATCTAAGAGAGAGCTTAAAAATAAACTCTAGGAAAAGAGAGCTTAACCAGAATGACGATTCATATAATACAACCCTTCACAAAGTTTTAACAACAGAAACAGATTAGCACACTATTTGCTAACAAGCCAAAATTGCACTCATGACCATTTAATTCCATGTCAAGAAAGCAAAAATCGTGACATAATTACATAGATTCTAAGCTTAAAAGTTCAACTTGAACAGCAGAGCAGGGATGAATTGGTCCACATGGAATCTTCTCTGCATTTCTGATTGCCAAATCTCATTGGAAGGGTAGATTTTTTTTTCTTAGCACCTCCCCTGCAAAATTGACATGAACATCACTAAGAACTGCCAGAAATGAAACAGAGGAACACAGCATGACGGCAAATAATGAACAAGCAGTTTGAGGAACATCTAAATCAGATGCACCAAACAACCATATCACCTCCCCAGAACATGCAGAAACATGCCCGTCTTTATGCATGGATCCATCATGCCACATTTTTAGACCATCTCAACCACTTGGCATGCATCATGACATTAAATTTCATACTATATTGAGAATCCAATCATTATTTTGAGTCGTTCCTTAATGGAAGGAGCGAGGAACCAAAGAAATTATCTCATCCAACGGTTCAACCCTAGAGGATAAATCCAACAAGAAGGAAGCTACTTTGGTAGAAATTGGTCTAAAGTGATTGGAGACAAGAATACGTATGAAATTAATGGTTGGTCACATCTTACAGGCATGATGATACCACCTCCTTTGGTTTTGACTCTCATTCTCCGCTTACAGTAACCAGAACTACCAAAGTCATTAACAAAAGATAGATACAGAACCACAAATTCCCCAACCACACAGCTCCTGTCTCCCTAACTTGCCAGCGTGACCAAGATCCAACAGCTCCAGAACTATCACAGACAAATTACCACTAAATGCCATCAGCCCCTCTTCATCGTGAGGACCATGAAGTTTCTCCACATTTGTCAGCTTCGCTTTGTAAAAATAGAAAGCCTATGAACAGACAAGGGAAAGTTTGCAGTGATTGAGCCAGAGAAGCAGAGCAAGCACACAAAGGCATGAAACTATCATCATGGTCACATTACCATTTCTTTTTTAATTCGACATAATTATGGGGTACCTATTCAAATTCACAAGCGAAAAAACAGGGCATATGAGTTTAGCAGAATTTAATTAAGGGATCTCAACCATTCCAATTCTCAAACGTGAACCAGTAGGGCCCTCATTTCACAGAAAATAGAAAGAAGCTTGGCCAACATACACATAATCCTATAGACTACCATCCAGATGCCACTCACCTTAGCATTGAGAACTCTTCATCTTTCAGCATTGCTTAAACCAATTGTACAGGCATCAAATTGAACTTGAAAATTGTAATACATCTAAGTAATACCATTCATGGATAAGTGGCATGCTATGGCTAAAAATCCTGTATCAAAGCAAGACTCCATCTATCTAAATATCAGTTAAACCAATATCATTTGACAACCCAAATTAAAAGATGCCAAGCTATTGTCAAAAATCCCAGAAAACCAACTTGTTCTGCTCTTTCAAATCACCAAAAAGCACAGGAATTATATCCGCTACAACCCTAACTGCATATATAGAAAGCATCCAAAGGAAAAAATTTACAAAATCTCATCTCTATCAATGCACACATCCCAAAAATCTTGATGTTAATATGAATTATCTGGTTTTTAAATAGCACAAAAGGCAGAGAGCTAGGCATTTACACAAACCAAAATCTAGGTCACAAAACTGACCAATCTTCTTCAATATGGTTATTGGTGGTAGCATTATCAAAAATATCTTGATACAATCTCAATATTAGCATATATATGATTTTATGCTTTTGTCACCAAAATCCACGTAGTATTCCTCTTGGAACTCTATCATGTGCTTTCTCTAAATCCATAAATAGCATAAAAGATCCTATTTACTCTACGCATAGATTGGCATCCTTCACAATTGTATAGCTTCAAAAGATCACCCTTGGGTAAATGTGAAAAAAAAAAACAATGGAATTCTCATACATATTCTAAACGTAATATGCTGGGGGAAGAGGACATTTTTATCCAAAAATTTCTACAACCACAAGCAAGAATATGGACTTCCTGAAATTAATGCTTTAACACTTGATGAATCCACGCAAGTTGAAACAAGAGATAAGCTGATGCAACGGAAAATTAACATGAATTATCCGCAAAAGTACAGCAAAAGAAAGTGAATGCGATGTATGAAAAATAAGTAACAGCTTTGGAAAAGATATTGCAGCAGCCATCATGAGGTAAAAACAAGAAGCATGGAAAATAATTCATAAGCTTCTGCTCGTACACAAAGTACTAATCAGCAAAGAGTAAGGAGAGTGAAAACAAAGAGAACTAACACATTCATGGAAGTAAACTAAAAACAGAGAAACGTTGAAAAAGGATAATATAGCTATAACATGGAGAAATGATACAAGGGTATATCTTTAATTAATCCCACTTCTCCTTATATACCCACATTCACTTCTTAAGGACAGTAAACAGGTCAAGCTTAGCCTTCTGAGGGGGGGGAAAACACAAATCCACCAATGTACATCTTCTCATTTAGTTCCTTTCATGATATTTCTAGAGGACCTCTTGCAAATCGAATTGGCTCATAGAAGATTTACTACACATACATTAACGTAAGATGAATATTACCTAGCATATTCAGAGAGAGGTAGCTGAAACAAGCTCAACCCAGAAAAGCATTTACTCTGTTGACATTACTAATTTCAGACTAATTGAACCCAAAACCATATGAATCCCATCCTTAGGACTCGGTTATAATAGAAGTAGAACAACTCCACCAGTGATATTCTTCTACCATACATAGGTAGGGGTGGTGGTGGGAGTGTCAACATTAGACTTAATCCCCAAAAAAAAAACCTGCTACTTACAATAAAACAAGAGGATCCAGATAATTTACAGCTTCTACCTAGCTTAATTCCAAAACTCAGACTCAAATGGAAAAAGAAAGAGTGGCCTCACTACAGAAGACTCAAAAAAATATATGAGCAAAACAAAAGCTTCCACTTCAAGCTTAATAGCTTACTCTGCAGATTTACACAAAAGAAGAAAAAAGGAAAAACACAATCCATTAGCCCCACATATGAACCTTTGGGATTAAGGTAACACATTGGCACAAAATCACAACTATCAGATTCTCATAAGCATATGCAATTTTAATAATAGAATGGAGAGACATCTTACATGGTCAGGCAAAATTCCTTTGGTCCCCACTCGGGAATCTGCTTCTCTGGTCGACCTCTGAGAATTTCTGATCTTCTCCGTGCCTTGGGTAATTCTGCCCATATGCAGGGCCCATTTCCTGCGCTGGAGCTCCTCCTATGCCCTGATGAAAGGTCCCACCTTGTGAAGGCGTGTAACTTTGACCTGCAGAGTTTCCACTATCAATAGATGTATACCTCTGATCTCCTTGAGGGAAATCACCTCTGCCACCACGAAACTGATCCCAAGCCCCAGAAGCAGTTGTGGGACCTCTACCTTCTATCCCTCCAGGTTGCCCATAATTCTGCCGAATTGGAGAATGCATCCCAGGTGAACCATTATTCTGCTGGGGAGTAAAATTCTGTGGAGGGCCATAGTTCTGCTGATTTGGATGATTGTGCGACTGACCATAATTATGCTGAGGTGAGTGATATCCGTAATTCTGATGAGCTGTAGTGTTTTCTGGCGTGCCATAATATTGTCGAGGTGGAGCATTTTGCTGTTGCCCATAAGTCTGTTGAGGTGGAGTATTCTGTGGCGGACTATAATTCTGCTGAGAGACAGGACCACGAGGAGGGCCAAAATTTTGTTGAGCAGCATAATTTTGTTGAGGACCAAAATTTTGTTGAGTTGGATGATTTTGTTGAGTAGTATGATTTTGTCGAGGGCCAAAATTTTGTTGAGTTGGATGATTTTGTTGAGGACCAAAATTTTGTTGACTAGGATGACTTTGTTGGGGGCCAAAATTCCTTGCATCCCCCGGCCCAGAGCCCCAGTTTTCTGGACGCTGAGGTCTAGAAAACTGACGGGGATTCCGTCTCACAGACATTATTGGGGGTGGCCTAGGAATTATAGTTCCATTAATGTACTTGTCTCCTGGTATTTGAAATTCACAAGAAGAAGCCCAAAATGAAAAATAAGATGGAGATTATCAGTGGAAAAGCTACCATGGTGAAATATTTGGACTAAAAAGATATGCTTAAGAAGGTGTATACAACATTATTGTACCTCCATACTCTTTGTTAACAGGATCAATGTAGGAATCTGGCAACACAAAAACAACTGCTGGATTCTCTGTTGAAAAAAAAAACTATGAGTCAACATGACTTATAAATCTATCTTTATCATGAAAGTGATCTTATGGATAGAATACCTTTGAATTTCTCAGACGTTTCCTCAGAACATTCAACCTGAAAACCTTGATAGGTCGTTGTGCTACAGGCATAGATTCTCTTCTTTGCCTCTTCTTCGCTGAACCCAAGCAAAATTAGACAAAGATGAGCCACTAACCTTTTACTCTAACATATCATCTTCAACTAATTGAACGAAGACAGTGACAGAGCTTTTTAACTAAAAACCAAAACAACTCTTTATCATATCAACTATGCGAACAACCATTTTTCGTTAAAGCTGAGAAGAACTATACCAACATCACTGGCAACGCAAACAAAAAGGACAGGTCCAAAAATTAACCAGAAGTGAAAATTAGAAAATCCACTAGCCAAACAGCCCAACACTTTACGCTAATATTGCAAAATTTCTAAAGGCCAATGGTGGATATATCAAATTCTTAATTGGCATGAAACCAACGAATTGCATAATCAAATTGAAACCTTATGGAAAATAAGAATTTGCTGTTTATGTTTTAATCTGAGTGAGTAAATGGATGCAAAATGACCTTCCAAAGACTCCAGCAGCAATTTCGACGTATTTCTGAACCTTCTGTTCAGCAGGAATATCAACATCCCTTGGGAAATCGACGGTGATGAGCCAGTGGTTGTAATCGCAACCTTCAAATAGAATAGTGTCTGCTGTAATTTCCATCTGGTCATCGGACTCGAAACGTCGGTTTCGGGAAGAGAGAGAGATCGGCGACGATCTAAAATGCCTGAACGAATGAAAATCGGAAAAGGAAGGGGTGGTTCTAGGGTTTTGGGGTCCGAACAAAGCAGAAGAGCTTGAGTGCAGGGGAGAAAGGAGTTTAGGGGAGTGGAAATGCTGGTGGAGAAGGAAGGAGGATAGAGACAATGCGCGACGGAGGCGAAGTGAGCATAACGCCATCTCCGGCGGCGGTGGGGGTGACGACTGCCGATGGTGTAAACGTTAGTGAGTAGTGTGTGAGGTGTGTGTAGAGATGGTTTTTAGGAATAGGAGTAGGGTTTTAGGCTTTAGCCTTTTCCTATTTTTTAGGGAGCCCGAGAATGACTTTGAACCAAAGAGTGCTTTACATTCTTGTACTTTTGTGAGAGGTACAAGTTTCTTGAGCATGACACAAACATTTAAGATTTAATATATTTGAACCGGATACATTTAAAAAGGGATAATTTCAGAAACCTCCTTGGAGGTCTCTAACAGTTGGACCGTGTACTCTCAAAGTTTTCAATATTACATTTACCTCTCTTTTGGCACTATAAAATTGCCACACTAATATTTATATTTTTCATGCAATTAAACAATCCGCTCCTAATTTTGAGCATATAAATGCATCACATAATTAGACATTTAATGGAAACAAAAATAAGATTCACCCATGGAATGACCAATTATGTTCTAAACAAAATTTTAACATATTACGAATTAATTTTAGCATTATTTAGAGGGTCTAGAGATGAATGGAAGAAAATATAAGTTGAAGGTTTAAAAAAGGAGGGGACTAGTGTTGGTACTCCAACATTTGAGGGATAACATGTCACATTAATGTAGTTGGCGAAATTTTTTTGAGTTTAACAGTGATGATTTGTTTTTTTTTTTCTTTTTTAACTTGTTTTGAGGTTTTAGCATTTAGAAACTGATGGCGGTGGTGGTCATGGTGACAATCGTACTAATTTAAGATGTTGGGATATGGAAGATTTAAAATAGTAGATATGAGGGTTGAAAGTGGGTTTGAGACTTTGTGCATGTTTCTTTTTTTTTTTTTTTAAGAATTCTATAAGAAGGTAAATTGAACTTCACAATTTTATGAGGTATTTTATATTATTCATCCAAAATCCTAACCATTGAATAGTTTTTGTTACCAAAACGATAAACTCAAGAGAGATATTTATAATTTTTAAAAAATTCAAGGGAACTAGATGAAATTGTTAAAAGCCTCAATTGAGTTTTATGAAATTGTTGTCAAGGGGCAATACGGTCATTTAGTAAACACTTTGGTAGTAATCTGGAAATTTGTAAATTTGGTCCTTGGACTTTATCCTTTTTGTTACTCTAGTCCATGTTAGGGGTGTTGATGAATTGAGCCGTTCTCTGAGTTCGGTCAAACACAACTCGTTCTAAGTTTCAAATCAAGTTCGAACTCCATTACATGCTGCTTGAGTATTCGACAAGTTTAATCGAGTAGGTCTATCATGTTTATACTACATTTATTTTAATTGCGAAATGACTGTCATGGATTTATATTTTAACAAAGTTCGAGTTTTTGTTTGAATACTCAAGAGCTAGATAAGGCTCGAGAATAAGATTGAGTTTTCTCGAGTCAAATTCGAGTTTATATCTTATTCCCATGAGTCGAGTGGAACTACAAATTCTCTTGCTTGATAGAATCAAACTCGAACTCGAATAATTTGAGAATTTATCGAGTTCGATTTCAAGCACAATACTATTCGAACTCGACTCGTCTCTACTCACCAGCACCCCTAGTCTAGTCTATGTTGTTTTTGCAATGGCACATAAAATGATGGAACCCTTAAGTTCATTCAAGTGAAAATAAAATCTTGCTCTAATACAAGCCAATTGATTTGGAGTAATTTGTGCAACAATTTACCACCTCGTCGGCATGCAACCAGTTCGATGATTTTACGCGTCATCTCGTCATGTTTTTATAAATATCCCATCTCGATGTGCTAAGAATATATTATTAATTAAATTTACTTTAATTTAAATCAGGCTATTTTCTTCTAGCCTTTTGATCTCCTAAAGGGGGCTGTGCCCCAAATGATCATGTACGTTCATTTTTTGTCTTTCAAATGTTTGAATAATTCTAAAGAAGTGTCGTTTTTAAAGTGTAAGGATTTGCCACAATACTTTTCTATGGTTGTGTTGTCTTGCACAAAATATATAGGTTCAATTTGACCAGACAAGACACAACAACAACATCAGTTGGGTCACTTCTGCATATGCAATGGCTTAACTGGGCCTAAGAAGCTATCTTGGACCAACTCTTTTTGATGAACCATTCGTTGCAGTCAATAGCCTGTTGAGCAGTGATCCAGCTGGAGCAGCGATACCAATGTCTAATTGCCATCTGATGGGCTGTTGGGCCCTCCAAGCCTCCAATGTACAAGACAAAAAGATAAATAAATTACTTGTGGACCTGGTGGCTCAGCATCTAGCATTTGGATACTTCGCCTCTATCTTTTTCAATTTCAAGCTTTCTACTTTATTTTCCTACAGGTAAATCTTTTCTTATTTCTCCTGTAATTTTGCTTTCCTCTAGCATTTCTACACTCACCATTATCTCCCAAAACAAGTTTATCCATCCTAAGTAATCGAGAAAAAGAATCAAATTGAAACACACAACAAATAGAGGGGAAAATTAATCGGTGTACTAACTCACTGCAGAAGAAAATTAAGCCAATATATAATTTAACCAAAGAAATTTTGATCTAATTTTATCGGAAGTTGAGAGTGTGAAAATCCAAATCGGGTCCAAAAGCAACATAAAATGATTTGCTAGGGTGAGTAGAAGTAATAATGGTCATGACTAACACATTAAGCGCAGCAAACTAATCAATAGCCTTAATTGTTCTCGATCGATTTAGATTTTACAAAATCTAATTATAGAAACTCATTGTATCAGAAGCAAAAGCTACTCTTTAGGTAATTATAGATTTTATTATTTTTTGGTTATGAAATAATCTATTATCACATTACAAAAGCAACTAGAAGCATCATAAAAATTGATTTTTTGAAATAAAAATTTATAATCAATTAAAATAATCAATCCAACCCAATATCTACGTAGTTCTTGGCGGTTGAAAGTGTAAAACTTTAAACGGCGGTTCAAAAAAGTCAAGGCAAATACTTTTCCAAGCTTGGTACAAGTAACAGTAGTAGTGGTACTAATAGTAAATCCCCCCCCCCCCCTTCCTTTTTTTTCTTCCTTTTAATCTTAACTTTGAATCTCTCGCGATTTATACTAACATTTTTTTTGAAACGGATCTTCTGTCTCATATTATGTCCCATTTTTTATTATATTGCTATTTCTTCTACATAAATACAATGTTTTAATTCTTTTTTTTTTTGTTTTTTTAAGATCCAATAACTATTAACTGAATAAAAAATCAATACAATAGTTTCAAAAAAGCAATATATAATAAAAAATTAAAAATACAGCAGAAAATTCATAAAAATTCTGCACAACTTTTTGTGATAGTGTATTATTTGGAATAATTACTGTAACATTTTTTGTGATATGATGTATGTGACATAAAAAAGTGATTGAGAATATAAAAAGGTGGATTGGGAAATGTATTTATGATGCAAGTGAAATATTATTTGGAATAAAAGCACTATCCAAACAAACCCCTCATTTTTTATGCATTTTGATTTTTTGAATTTATTAAATTTTATATATTACTCAGTTAATAGTTATTGGATCTTAAAAAAATAAAAAAAAATTAAAATATGACGTTTGTGTAGAAAAAATAATAATATAATAAAAAATAGGACAAAAAATGATACACAGTAACACAGTGGATCCGTTGCGCATTTTTTGTAGTCAAAAGTTTCAAACCTTCCAGCGCACCCTTTAAGAAAAGTAGAAGAAAAGTAGTAAAACACAGAGACGCAGTACAATCAAGAAAGACGGTAGAGAGAGCAAAGGGACGGGTGCCAACTGCCAACCAGGGGTAGCATCCATGTGGTGAGGTGGGTTCTTGGTGAAGGTGAAGCCAATGAATTACAATCCCATGAATTCCAACACGTTCAAAGCTGGGCTTTCCCATATTTTAATCTGCACAACTTTTTTTATAATGGAACAGAGACATGCACATATTCAAAAGAGAAAACTAAAGAAGACTGTATAAAGAAGATTTTCCGTGATCCATCAGTGTCGAAATAAATGAACTTGCCACTGGCACCACTTCAGGTCTGCTAGTCTACAAGCACAATATAAGCCATGATACTCAAGAAACATATAAATGGGCAGCTTTTTGCTCCAGCCCAGTTCCCCATTTCCTGGACCCTCTGCTGTCGCTACAAGTTTTTTCTTTCCAAACAAAATTCCAACACTATCGTCAAGAAAAAGGAAATCTAGGATTTGGGTTCTCGCTGTTAAATGGAAAAGATGCATGAACTGATAAGAGAAGGGAGATCTTTGGAGTTTACACCAACATGGTCAGTGGCTTCAGTGACTACTGTCATGGTTTTTGTCTGCTTGTTTGTGGAAAGGTCCATTTACAGATTTGGAAAGGTCAGGCGTTTAAGGGAGATGCTGCATTGAGTTAGTTTGTTCTTGATAAGTTAAGGTTGTATGCATCTATTCTCAAAGATTGTAATTTTATTGTTATACTTGTATTCGTTGGTATGTGTAGTGGTTGAGGAAGACGAGAAGGAAGGCTCTATTTGCTTCTTTGGAGAAAATTAAAGAAGGTAAATGTCATAGTCGATGCTTGTGAATGTTGAGTTTACTTGGTATATTTGTCTTTTTAGCTCCTACTGATTGGTTTGCTTTTTCTGGCTTGACTGTTAAAATTCTTAAATCTAATCCTTTCCAGTCATTAATGCATTTTGAAATGAAACTAAAAGTTCCAAAAGAATAACTATAGTGGTTTGCTTCATCCCCTTTTCATCCAACTTGATATTACTGTTGTGTGGCAGAGTTGATGCTACTTGGGCTTATTTCTCTGTTGTTGGGGCAATGGGCGAGGTGGATTTCTCAAATTTGTGTGAAGTCATCCCTCTTCAGCAGTAAATTCTATCTTTGTTCCGACGAGGATTATGGCATGGGAGAGAGAGAGAGAGTCTTATTCACAAAATCCGATACTTTTTCAAATGAAACTGAGATTCCAACAGGACTTAATTATTCAACATTACATCAATGCGGGGCGGTAATTCCTCATCTCTTCAAATGTTTTTTTAATTATGCTGATTGGAAATTGTTTCAAAACGAATTTTAAATTTCAGGATCGTGAACCTTTTGTTTCCCATGAAGGCCTTGAACAGCTGCACCGCT